CGCGGGAAGCCTGCTTCTCCCTCTCCCACTCCCCCTGCTTGTGTTCCCTCTCTCGCTGTGTCTCTTTCTGTCAAATAAATAAATAAAATCTTTAAAAAGTAAAAAAAAAAGGTTTAGGAACGCCTCGGTGGCTCAGTCGGTTGAGTGTCTGCCTTTGGCTCAGGTCATGATCTCAGGGTCCTGGGATCAAGCCCAACGGAGAGTCGGCTTCTCCCTCTGCCCCTCCCCCTCTGCTCTTGTACTCTGTCTCTCACTCTCGCTCTCTCTCAAATAAATAAATAAAATCTTAAAAAAAAAAAAAGTTTAAATGGTGAAATTTATGTTCTGTATTTTACCACAATTTGAAGAAAGATCCCTGTGCAAACTCCTCTGTCCTGTGGAGTGCTGTTTCCCGAGCTTTCCTGTGAGGTCACTCTGACAAGGTTTTGGAGCTGGAGTGCCGTGTGGGCGGAGCGTTGTGGACGAGCCGTCTCTGAGAGTGCACCTGCAGACTCGGTTGTCTGCGGGGAACATGGACTTTGAGGAAGTGGGGGTGTTCCAAAGGGGCTTGCAGCCGTGTCTGCAGAGCTCTAAATTTGCTAACATCATTTACATATACATATAAATATGCATGTCTGTATATGTACATAAACATATGCGTGTATCTCCCCTTCCTGTCATTAATTTTTATTGCTGTAAGTTTGAACTCTAATGTTTATGTAAAGGCAGATAATACCTAAGGTCATTCTGTCCCCACTATCAAGTCATAAGTTTAAAAAAATGAAATCAATCCAACCTTTCCTTTGCCAAGAAATTGTCTTGGGTTGTTTGCATTACCCTATCTGCACTGAAAGCTTATACTTTTAATGATCTTAGCTATTCCAGTAAATAGGTTTTAAAATATTATCATATTCATTTTGGTGTCAATTAATGCACTTAAGATATTTTATCGATGTTATTTCTGTAGTATATTAACAATGAGGGAACAATATATAGCAATTATTTCAGTTTTAGGAAGCACTTAACTAGATTAAAAGCTGTAAGTAGCAGATATTACACTCGAGAATAGTGGTCTCATCGTGTGCTGGGTGGGTTGTTAGCCATGGTCTGTACCTTACTGTTACAAGGACAGGTGATAAAACGAATTTAGACACTAAGATCATGTTGGCAAAATAACTAGCTCTATTAGAAATAAAAATCCCAAAGTGTGCTGTTTTCAGATATATGGCTCTCATATAAATCCTTTGTTGTTTAGGGTCTGCTACTCAATAGAGGTTGGTTTTTAACTCCCAGCAGAGTTCTTAAAACGTAGACCCTTTTGCAGCATCATTGGCTGCTGGGGCTCATCCTCGTTCTGGCCTTTGGTATTTGGATCCTGACCTTCTCCCAGGAGCAGAATGAACGGTGTCTCTAGGGGGAACCTGGCTGGTCGGTTGGGAGTCAGGGTCGTGAGCTCCATGTTGGGCATGGAGCCTACTTAAAAATTAAGAAAGGTGTCTCGGGGCACCTGGGTGGCTCAGTCATTAAGCATCTGCCTTCAGCTCGGGTCATGATCCCGGGGTCCTGGGATCGAGCCCCGCGTTGGGCTCCCTGCTCCACGGGAAGCCTGCTTCTCCCTCTCCCACTCCCCCTGCTTGTGTTCCCTCTCTCACTGTATTTTCTCTGTCAAATAAATAAATAAATAAAATCTTTAAAAAAGAAAAGAAAAGAAAGGTGTCTCTAGAGTTGGCTCTCAGCCACGAGCTGGCATCTGTCACTGGCAGGTGGAATGATAGGAATCACTCTTACCATTTGGTTGCTTTGGTGTTTTTCGGATAATACCGCTTTGCAGTTACCTGGTTTGTGATAAAACATTTGTTCCTGTTATCACAGGAGGCTATTCCGCCGACCATCCTGTAATCAAAGTCTTTTGGAGAGTTGTGGAAGGATTCACCGATGAAGAAAAGCGCAAGCTGCTCAAATTCGTAACGAGCTGCTCCCGACCCCCTCTCTTGGGGTTTAAGGTACACAGCTTCTGTGTCATTTGCTTTAAAAACCAACTTGTAAGCAGGAAAGGCAGCAGGATATCAAGTGGGATTAAATGATGTAGTGCACCATCCACAGTTCTCAGGGGAGTAACATTTACCGTGTAGAGCATTTATAACACCAGTTTCTCTGTATTTTTAGCTACATTAACTATTTCGGCCAGATCAGTTACGTATTGGTCATGATGTGTATTTCATGGTGCTGGTCCCCGGGTTACCTGCTGATGCGGCTGCTGTGATCGTGACGGCCTGTGAGCAGGGCCTGCTGGCTGGGGGGCCCTGGGCAGGGCTCGGGGGATGTAAAGTACCATCTCCTCAGTTTTACTCTGAACTGAAGAAAACACAAGCTAAAAATGGGGATGTAGTGTGCTTGGGAAGAATAATGTGGGAGCAAAAGTGCAGTTGACCTTTGAACAATGTGGGGTTAGGGGTGCTGACCACCACCCCCCCAAGCAGCAGAAAATCCACAGATAACTTTTGACTCTTCAAAAACAACTACTACAGCCTGCTCTTCATGGGAAACCTTACCAATAACAAGCAGTCGAGTAACACGTCTTCTACACTATTCTTACAATAAAGTAAGCTAGAGGAAAGGAGATGTTGAAATCCTAAGAGAAAATACCTGTCTAGTACTGATCTGTATCTATCGGAAAAATCTGCATGTAAGTGGATTCGCGCAGTTCAAACCAGTATTATTCAAGGATCAGTGGGATATTTTTCCCTGTTGTTAGCTGTTACTTTTTCATGTTACTTATCATTTCTGATCATTAATTCAGCTTAATATTTTTAGCAATTAAAATTGGTTAGGGGACAGTTAGAGGTTCCCTTATTCATTGCCAATTAAAATAAAGCAATATTAATAGTTTAAAATACACAGTGGTGTATATAATATAGAAGAATATCAAGTTAGATAAGCACTGAATATTGCTTGTGCAGGTGAAACTTAGAGAAGGCACGTACTTTCCCATAACCTTCTATCAATGAGTTATATAGGAGTTACTCTTTTCTTCAAATTTTTACTTTGAAATTATTTTAAAAGTATGGAAAAGTTGTGAGAGTTGAATAAAGAACTTCTAGTATGTAAATTGCACTTCAATCAAGCTATTTTTATTTATTTTACTTATTTTATTTTTACTGGTATATATTTTTAGAGAGGGAGTTGAGGGCAGAAGGGGAGAGAGAATCTCAAGCAGACTCCACACCCAGCACAAAGGCTGACTTGGGGTTTGATCTCACAACCCTGAGATCACGACCTGAGCCAAAATCAAGAGTCAGACGCTTAACCCACGGAGCCACCCAGGAGCCCTTTAATCAAACTATTTTTAAAAATTGACATCAGTAGGGGCGCCTGGCTGGCTCAGGCGGTGGAGCATCTGACTCTTGATCTCAGGGTTGTGAGTTCGAGGCCACGTTAGGTGTAGAGATTACTTAAAAATAAAAACAAAAAAATCTTTAAAAAAATGACTGTCCGGGCGCCTGGGTGGCTCAGCTGGTTGAGCGGCTGCCTTCGGCTCAGGTCATGATCCTGGAGTCCCTGGATCGAGTCCCGCGTCGGGCTCCCTGCTCGGCGGGGGGTCTGCTTCTCCCTCTCCCACTCCCCCTGCTTGTGGTCCCTCTCTCACTGTGTCTCTCTCTGTCAAATAAATAAAATCTTAA